AATAGTAATAATTAATACACTAAATAAAGATAATTATTGTGAGAGACTATTGTACTATTATTATGTCATAAATATACGAAACTTTCGCTCTAATAATTAGGATGATAATTTATGCTGTACGAGTTATAATGCAATACGAGCAATGCAAGTTGAAGCAAACTGCACAGTATACGAAAGACAGGGATGAACTCCAACATCGGTAAGATTGTTTTAGGGACCGCGAGACATCAGCTGCTGTTTGTTAAACATCGCTCAAGCTGTCAGCGTGACTACGGGTGTTCGAGCACACGTCGTATATGCACGCGTGCGAGAATTTGTTAGCTCCGACATCAAAGTCCGTATGCTCATCGCGCGATAAATGCAGTTGTCTGAATTGTATCTTGACATTGATGCAATCTCGATTTGAACACTTAGTGACTTTTATTTAACATCTTTTTCATTCGTAAATTTTCCCAAGTCAGTTCTATATTTTCAGCGATTAAAAAAATTGGCAGTTTTTAATAAACTAAACTCTAAAAAATGGATTCTTCCACACTCGTTACTAATAGAATTTTAATCGGATGCGGAATATTCAGGAAATAAAGAGCAGTGGAAGAATCAGATTTAAAAAAAAAAAGAAAAGAAAGAATCGACATGAAGTAAATCAGATAACTCAGAAATGGTCGCAGTCTTGTGCGAAATCTTCAGTCTCATTTAGCGCTGAATGTATGCAACTGCTTCATTAAGAATATTCACGAAGTGTCTTTTTTTTTTATTCGAATATCTTTCTCGCTTTATTGTGCCGTCCGGCACAAACCTCTTAATCCACGATTAAACCCGCGACAGGGACTTATCGGTGCTAATGAGGCGGTAACGAGAAAAATCTCGAACTCGAGATTATCGCGATCGCTGGCCGTATAATGTTATGGACTGTTGCTAACGGCGGGCCCTTTTTCATCGAGTCCTTTTTATTAAGAACCCGTCGCGAGCGGGAATTACTTTTGTCCCCGTAATTGGCGCGCGAGCGAACCGGAAGTTTTGTGTTATCGACAGTTACTAATGACTCCTTCCGCCTCCTCCGCCCACTCGCCTTTTTAACACATTGTTATTACAAATACATTTTTTTACGAGAAGATTTAAATATGGCTTAATTAGCATAATTCAACTCGATTGTGGTTTCACTTCACAACCAATTGTAAGAGACTTGATAAATTTTTTTTATCGCTTTCCCCTTGCTTGAAAATTAAATTTTATCGTGTATTACAATTTAGTATGTAAATTTACTGTTTCGTTAGACTCGCAAACGATGACTTAGTTCACTTGATTAATGCTCCATACTTTTAGCAAAGGCTGCAAGTGGATTACGTTAATTTATCTATGATCGCGAATTTATGGGCGACAGTATATTCTCATCGCGTTCACATACTGTCTCCTCGCGCGGAATATAAAAATGTGGATCGTGCCGCGCACTGTATTGATATACTCGCGACGTGAGTTCAGCTTTGCTCCTTTTTCCGCCATCGAGAAACTGTCGGATAGCTTGGAAAACGGGC